TCGGATGGTCCATAGGGATAGCACTGTGGGAGAGTGGCACGGTGGTTTTGCTTCAAGTTTTTGTGGTTGCCTTTATAAATAGCATGAAGAATTTTGTGTGTTGTAATGCTCAAAAATACCTTGACAGTGTCCTTTCTCGGACCAGATGCCTTATAATCTAAACGAGCATCTTTAATAGTGGCATTAATTATTATTGAAATTCTGCTCTGTCCCACTGAAACAAGTCTAATAGCTCCTGCTAGCTCGCTCTTCCTCCCTCCCTTTGCCAGACCTCTATTGCCTTTCTTCAGAGGAAAGTTGTACAGCAAAGGGGCTGTGCTCCTGACTGTGTGGATCCCGGGATACACAACTCTCCGGAGCCCAGCATGGGTCAGGCGGTCAGAATGAAACTCCGAATTTCGTTTAGCCTGAATCTTTGAGCACACAGAGAGGGTCACGCACAGGGTCCTGGCACGTTGCATCAGCCATGGATCAGAAAAGGTCATTAATGACTCCGGAGCCCAGCATGGGTCAGGCGGTTGGAATGAACCTCTAAATTTTGTTTAGCCTGGGTCTTTGAGCACACAGAGAAGGTCATACACAGGGTCCAGGCATGTTGCATCAACCATGGGACAGAAAAAAAGTCATTAATGGGGACAAGCTTTTCCACTTTATGGGGAGAAGGAGGCTGTGCCCACCTGCTTCATGTTGTGGGAGCAAGAAATGGCATCACATTAAAGTGCAGATTAGGGGTTCCCCCCCCACACACACACACATATGAAGATGGATGGCCTTTCTGCCTCAGGCGCGTTGCTCTTTCTTCCCATCGTCCCCTCCCTCTGGGCCAGTTCTCCAGTTTCTCAGCAGAGGTGTTTGCCTGGGACTGCTTCCTTCTTGGTTTTGTCCAGGACACATATGTCCATTTTTTTTCCCTCTACTTTTCTGCAAAAAAGCTGTGTTTCTGATCCTGCAGTTGTTACTGCAAGAGACTTCAAGAGATCCGCTCCCTGGCCCACTCTTCTCATGCTCCATTTCAAGAGCCCTTGGCTTCTTTTCCTTGGAGGGCACCAAGGTTGTGTCATGCACTTGCCTTACCTTCCTCATGCTCTTCAGCATCTGTCCCTCTCTTTGCAACTCATCACCTCCACCTCCCACTGCCTTCTGCTGTGCCAGGTCCTCTCCTCACCTCTGCCCCCTGCTATCCTACCTTGGTCTTGTCTGCCTTCTCTTCGTGGCCTTCTGCAAAGGCCTCATGTTTTGTCCATTTAACACCTCTTCCTTGGCTGTTGGCTGAGGCCCATTTAGAGCCATCATGTGGCTGTTGTCCATTTGCTTGTTCCTATCTCGGTTCATAAAGCCCAATGCCAACCTTGCAGAAGACCTTAGAAAGAGTTGCATGGGTAGGAGGTTTTTGAGATGTGCCTCCTGCTGCAAAGATATCCTGGCTACTGAAGTCCGTGGAATGCACGTAGCTGTGAGCACAACTTCTGCTGAGATGAGACACCTCCCCGAGCGTCGCCTCAGGGGGACAGGAAAGGACGGTGTCTGCGGAGGAGCTTGTGATCCCCCATCTAATAACATATGTAGCAGACACCTTTCCCTTGAGACGGCAGCCTCTGGAAGCCCAGGACGAGTCTTTCAACAAGATTAAAGAGAGGGTATTAATTGCTATCGATCATGGGTCAACAAATTAAATTGCATCTGCAACTGCATCTCTGAAAAGTCTAAATGAGAAGAGTAGTTAATGGGTCTGGCTGGCCTAGCACTGCAATTAATTAAAGGGAGAAATGAACTAAAAATGCAAAGAAAAAAAAATAGAGAACGATGGAGCTCAAGTGCAGAGAGCACTCAGTGTAGCAGCAATGGGGAGGGGTTATATTACCAGGTACTTATTGACCTGCAGTGGGACACAGCACTGGGCCATTGCCCCAGCCCTGCTGGGACAGTACTTTCTGCTCGGCCTAGTTATGTGGTGCCTACGTGTAAGAGCTGGCTGGAGCTGGGATGCCTCGTCCAGTAGCACCTGGTTACTGTGAACTGAAATATATGTATATATATATATTTGTATGTATATATGTGCTTAATTTTTAATATTGACCACTGCTGAGACACTCCATTCTCCCTCTTTGCAGCAAAGAAAACTTTCTGTTGCTTGAAGTTTTCTGTCTGTGAGGGTCCTACAGAAGTGGCTCTATGATTAGCTTCTCTTGTTTTGCTTTTGGACTCAGTAGTCTGCAAAGATTAAAAAAGTGCATTTTTATGTTGTTTGGCAATCTGTCCCACCATAGACACAGAGCTAAAATAAAAGGCTCTTCCCATGCCGCGTGGCAACTAGCATTGCAAAGCAGCCTGTTGGATGCTATGAGTAAGATACTACATGGTGGGACTAAGAGCACTGCCTTTTGGAAAATAATGAGCACAGCACGGAAATGTAGATGATGTTTAAATAACAATGAAAAAAATAAGAATATGTAGCACATATAGTGCTGTACTTGTTCCAGGCACTGTACAAACATTAACTACAGTAATTAAGCTGTAATTAATTAGAGTAACTACTAATCAGTGTAAAAAACGATGCAGCTGGAGATACCAAATGGTGTTTGTGAACTGAAAGCAAATTTCCATGTTCATGAAATGACATCAAATGTAAAATGGCACCAAAACGTGCAAAACAAGTCTCAACGTTGCAGTGGGCAATTCATTGCTTGCTTGATGGCTAAAGACAAAAAGGGCTGAGAAGGGAATTCTGGTTTGGTCCATATTTTGCCACCAAGAAAAGTGGGTGGGTGGAAAGAACACTGGGATGGAGGTGAAATCGGTGCTGCTTTTGCTAGCGCTGCTGAAACTTAGCTGATTTACAGCAGCTGAGGGTCTCACTGCCCAACTGAGCCTGGTGGGAATCAAGGACTTCTACAGCAATTGCTGGGCACAAAACCAACCTTTCCCATCTCATCTCATGGCCAAAGCGCTCACTGACACCCCAGAAAGTCCATGATGTGGATGTGACAAGGATGAGGCCCTTGTAGGGTTGGAAATTTGGGAGAGTGAAATACACCACAAATATATTATTTTGGTTTTTGCTGGTTCACACACTTTATATTTAACAAAATAGGTTTTTTAATAATATATTCTCTTACACATCAAATATTGTTTCTAGAACCTCCCCACCCCTCCCACCCCCTTTTTACAGTATAGTTTGTTTCTCACTAGTTTCAGGCACGCTATTGTTTAAAGATTTGAAACTGGATCATCATTGACAGGCAGCGGCTCTCAGATAAACGTGTTGATGACCGAGTGAATGTTAAAAGTGCAGGAGGCAAAATCTCGGCAGAAAGAAACCTACTGGGTTACCCCACTGCAGTCGAGAATCTGGGAAAAGGAAAAATGCAGAAGAAATAAGAATATAAAGGCAACAGTGTGCAAAAATCGAGACGGCTTTGATGGCTACACTGAATTGCTTCGCTGTAGGACACTGCTAGGGGAACTGACTGCTGTTGCCATTGAGGGGAAGACGGAGGGCTGAACAGAATAATCCCTGTCGGTCACTCCGATGAGAACACTGGAAAGCAGTAAGTATGAATGATGACTTGAAGGGCTCCTGTGGCCACCCGCGCAGCATGGGGCAGCTCAGGCTCCGCTCACAGCATCGGTTTGAGGCCATGGCCTGCGCTGAGGCGACACGACAACACGGCACCGCGCTTGGGCCGCTGCCTCAGGGCGATCCGCCCCTCGCACCACGGGCGGTGTCACTGCCCCCCATGGGGTGCTTGGAGGAGGCCAGGGCAGACACAGGCGTCAGGGGCCTGCGTGCACGTGGAGGGGGCAGTCCCAGAGCACCCCGGGGAGTCACCATGTCCTGGGCATGAGGGTAAGGCTGGGCCTTGCCGGGACGTCACGTTTCATTTCATGATGATATTTCCTTGCACCAGAGGTGGATATGGAAACCTCCCCAGGGGCTGCCAGCTGAAATGGGGGTTTGGATTTTGTTTGTAACATGTGGTGGCCAAGTCCTGCCATTGTTGAAGTCAACAGAGGCGACGCTGCTGGCTCCAGCGCTTACCCCTACGCCTGCCGTCGGAGGCACCAGCAGGCTCACGAGGCGAATGGAGAGAGTTTGGTGGCAGAGGAGACATGGCTCATGTGGGACTTACTTACCTCAACCTCACCGCTTGCACCCAAGGGGCATCATGCAGCGAGATGAACCAGTTTGCAATGAAAGCCGGCAAAACTGCTTCTCCTACGAGGGAGACACGCTGCAGCATTTAAGACAAGAAGTTGTTCTCCAAGGGAGGGCTTTCTTTCAAATGATTTGCCTTGACAGGGTCCTGGTGGCTGCCCCCACGTGGCCTGGCCTTGGCTTTGGGTCTCACCAGAGTCACCATGAGGGTGGCGGTGGCATCAGCTCTGCTGTCCCCACTCAGTGGGCAGGTGTAACCTGGACAGCGCTTGCTCCTCGCCACCCGCCCCGGGTACCTGCACATCCCGCGTGCTCCTTCTGCAGGCTGCCTTCCAGCTGCCATTTGCAATCCCTTCTCCCCTCTCCATTTATACATCCCCCGGTCCTTCATGGGCCTCCCCTCCCCCTGCAGCTTAGTTTTTAGCCTCCATAGACACTATAAAAAAATAATTAATTGCTTCACTCAAACCTGTGTTGCCCCAGCTGAGGAAAAAAAAAGAAATCACAACAGCGAAAAGAATGAAATAAATAAAACCTGCCAAGTGCAGTCCTCATTGCCCGAAGAGAGCAGTGAAGTCCTGGAGGTGTCACCAGCCACGGAGCTTGCGCAGGGTTGTCTTTTTTTTTTTTTTTTTTTCCATCCTTCCCTCCCGCCCCAGCTCCAAAAGAAGCGATCACCGCACCCCTATCCAGCACTGGTAATTACAAAAGCAGAGTAGATACCGAGAGACCATATACATAGTAGGTGAAGCAAGAGGAAAGCGCGTGAGAGCGACAGGGCTTTTCCCGTGCAGTCAGAAGGAGGAACCATCCCTCCAAGGCTTTGCTGGTGACCCCGCGGGCGCTACAGGGCCTGCTTGCCCTGGCACTCGCGCTTGGAGCACTGCGCCGGCTTCCACCAGTCCCCGTTGTGGCAGTGGCAGATGTTGCAGTCGTCCACCTTCACCTCGATGCCAGCGGGGATGATGGTGGTGCCCGCGAAGCAGTTGGGACCTGCAAGCACACATGAGAAAAACAAAGCCTTTTTTCTCTTTTTTATTTTATTTTTTTTATTTTAATTGGGGGTGGGCATGCTATAGGTGCCTGACATGTCTTACTATAGTTATAGGAGGCTGCTTTTGCTCCTACTGGAACAGGACTGCCGGCAATAAAAATAAGAATAAAAATAGCCATGCAATTCATTTGTTTCTCCCGCCACACACACCAATAGAAATGGGACTGGGTGCCCCATGGAGGCCAAGGGGACACTGCTCATTAATCAGGTGCCTACTAATTTGGCATTGCCTCTCTTGTCAGGACTGGCTCTGAGGAGAAGACGAAGTGGATGCTCATCAGGGCAGAGGCGCTTCGCTGCTCAAAACTGGTGAGTTCCCACCTCTGCGTGTGGCCAGCAGCCAGGTAATCCCCCTCGGACTGTGGTGGTCACCAGCTGGACCCAAACTCCTGGTAATCCTGGGGATCCCACCAGCTGGGGGGTGTCTACCATGACTCAGCATCAACTTAACAAAAATAATTCATCTCCTACATACATAAGCTTTCTGACAGAATGGATTCTACGAAGGGAGGAATTCCTTCAGTCTGCTCATTAGGGGAAGCTTTTGGTCTATTATAAAACATCAAAGCTGAGGAACAAGTCAGCAAGAATTTTCTTTTTTCCATTCTCGTGAAGGACCTGCAAATACCCCTTGCCCAGCTGCTTCTGCACAAACCTGCTCCTCCTCCCCACTTATTCCTGCATTAGTGCCATGAATTAGTGTCAGAGGCAACAGCATATGGAAAAAATCAGGGCAGCACTGGCAGCACCAAGAAAGCGAGAAGACGTTTGAGTGTCTCACGGTTCACTGCGCCAAAACATCGCTCTTCCATTCTTTGTCCCATTGCATTTCTAAAACTATTCCTCTACGGCACGAGGTGCCCAGGAAAGATGAGGGCTTGTATAAACACGACATTTCCGGCAAGTCATTAGTGCTGAAAATAATAGGATTTAGGACAGTTTGGAATGGGAAGTCAGCTGTTTTATGCCTCCGTCTCTCCCCGAGAGAAGCTGCCGCCTGTGCACGTGCTCGGGCACGCGCTGCCACGCGCGGTGCCAGGGCTCGCCTGCCTCGCGCTCCACAGGGCTCCGCGTCTCCTCCGAGCTGCTTCGCAGAGGTCCCTGCCTCCTCCTACCAACCGAAATGTCTTGCAGGACATTTTGAAGCATTTGGGGTTGTTCTGCAGGGCATTGTTTCCATTAAGGACCATTGCTGGCTTTGTTTTAGCTGCCCCTGGGCTGTCTCCAGCCTTGCACAGAGCCGTCAGGCCATGAAACACTGGGCCGCGGCGGCAGCACCCAAATATCCCCCTGGCCTCTCCGCCAGCTCCAGCTCTTCCAGGAACCACACCGAGGCTGGAAAAAGCTGAGCTGATGCCAGTCAGCCCTAAGCAAAGTCCCATACCCTGCAGGCCCAGAAAACTCTTGATCTCAGCCCACTGCTAAACTCAGTTCGCAGGAATAAGTAAGTGAGGCTGCTGCCAAGCAAGGTGAGTGGTGGTGCTTGCATTTAGTTCCCATTTCAGTGACCCTCCCCTTTAAGAAATGCCTCTACACATTCTGATCGGCTTTAGACCCTTTTTTATCCTCCTATTAACAAAGCCACCAAAGAAGTGCCTGGGAAGGTGCCTCAATGACTGGTCTAGCAGTTGCTGCAGGTTGAGAGCTGCAGTTTGTGCAGTTAAATCCTGAGTTTTTTCCACTGAGTCATCTCTAAAACTGAAGTTTGGGCACCACTTGCTGCCCCGATACATTTTTTTTCCCCTGGTGTGACAGCCTTATGCTCACCCTGTGTGTCTGCAAGGCTAAACATACAGAGGTTGGTTGCAACCACCACAACATCAAGTACATTTTCCAGTTTCTGGTATTTTTCTGTTTTGCATCTGCTCATACATCACTTGGCATTCCCAAAGTGATCCCACTTCTCCTCTGCAATTGCTCTTCCTTATCTGAAATTGAAGAGGGACAGGGAGACTTTTTGGTCACGAGATGGGGATTTTTGCAATTGCTGCTGATTTTCCTCCTGCCCTTGCCCCTTTGGAAACGTCTTGCAAGTGATATTTGCTGCAGCTTCTCCCCACAGCCAGCATCTTGCAGAAGGCCACATCCCAAGGCCGGGAAGGCTGTGAACCCATTTGTGATATTTCTTTGGCAAGCTCTTGAAATTGCCATCCCCTTGGACGGCTGATAGACCTCGGCACTGGCTGCGCCGTGTTGCTGCCTGCGCCGCTCACAACAGATTTTAATTCTCTGCTTCATGAAGTCTGATGGATGTTGTCATGTTATGACACTCCGAACAGGCTTTTCCATCAGGTGGACTCATTTTCTGCTGTTAAAAGTCCGGGGTCAAATGCAATGGAAATGCCAACAACTGTAGCTGGCTGTATTTAAAGTCAAAGTAAGTGCAGGTACCTCTTAAATCGGATGAGCTGATCGCCTGCCAGCGTCGGGGAGGTAGGGGATGGGCAGGCTCCAAGTAGCCTGCGCTGCACTCCCGGAGAAAAACCCTTTTCATTAAAACTTAAACACAAAGCTTCCTCTGGAGATTAGGGTGCCAAGGAAAGGGGAAGATTGTTTTCTCTATTGTTGCCCTCCGGCTGCCTGTTAATCATCTTATTTGAGAATCCAATACTGCTGCTACACCCACATGCGTTTTGCAGCCCAAGCCTTCTCCGGGCACTTAACTATCCAGGATTTATGGCCCTGTGAGGCAATTAAGCTTTGCCGAAAGTGCAAGGGAGCCCCGGGAAGCAGCTGTTCTTCAGCCCTTCCTCCTCCTCCCCATGTCTCTTAGGCCCCTTGGGCTCCTTTTCTTCCCTGTTTAGGGAAAAAAAACAAACATTAAACAGCCCTCAGAGATGCCTCTAGCCACAGGATGGAGAGAGGGGAGATGCAGCAGGAAGCAGCCATGCAGAGTGGGCCGACGTGATGGAAGAGGAGCCAGGCGAGGGGGATGCCCTAAGAGCATCACCCATGTCTTTGAGGGCTGTGGTTGCGAGGTGCTCATTCATTTTGGAGAAGGAACAAGTAGATCTGCTGAATGCAGCTGCACAGCCCCTGAGGAACTTTCTGGTGACCCTGGGCTTGTACAGAGCTGACAGCTAATCCAGTGACAAAAAGACAAATCAAGCCCCTAGGGGCATTAGGGGGATTTGCAGCCTGTAATTCCCTGGCTGGATTACGTGGCAGAAAGTGGTATCTTTTGATCTGCCTCTTCTTCTCCCCGCCTTGACTCGACCTCTGAGTGTTTCTAAGGCCACGGGGCCCGGGCGTCCCGCCGAGGTCGGCCGAGCTCTGCCCGCTGGCGGCACCGGCCGCGCTCAGGGCCCGGCTCGGCCGGGCTGATGCAGCGCGTCACGAAGAACGGGACAGAACAGCAATTTCTTATTTTTTTTTTGAATTCAAAAGAAGAGGCTGCTCAGAAACCCTTGATGACGTCAAGCACATCAAGAAGGCTATTTATTATAATAGCAGTAGTACCAAGTGGCTTCTCTGGGCAAAGGCTGTCATCTTGTTCTCTGTGAAAGCATCTCCAGCCGTGACTGCAACGCTGCTATGTGAGCAGAACAGTAATAACCATTTTTCCCCTGCTCAGGGGAGACTGATGGCAGAAGTTTGCTGCTCCCGCAGACAGTGTAATGGTGAGACTCGCTTTGCTTAGCATAATTAATACTTAGACAAGACCGCAGCACTTTGGGCTCTTTACGAAGACAACTGTGAACATTTTTAAGGCCATATATCGTGGTGATGCAGACACTGTTAAGATAGGGGCGATGCAGCTCAAAGAGCAGAAACATGTATGTGTCGTTGGTCACAAGCGGTGACAATAAATTTGGCATCCCCGACGGGTGAGCTGGGGTGGACGCTGCGTTCCCAGACCACACGGAGGGACGTACAGCAGCGCCGGGTTTAGCTTTGCGTGTGCAAACAAGCAATAAAAGTCACCCTAACATTAAGCTCAGATCACCTGGGGCCAGCTGTGATATTCAGCTTCATCCTGAAGAGCATCTCGCTCCGAACGGTGCTCAGTGCCTGCCCTGGGATCTCTTAGGCAATAGTGCCCTATTTCAGCAGTGATTCTTTCCTCTTGGTTGAAGGCTTGCTGGTGATAACCCTATGTCCTCCTTCACTGCTTTAAGAGCACCCCGTCCCTTTGGAGATATTTAGGATGGCTCCAGGAGGCATCAGCTTAGTCAGTCAATAGATAATACAGCCTAGGAGAGAGGTGCCCTGCTACTCAGTTTGCAAAGGATAGCGAGAAGTGCTGTTTTCCTGGGAGTGGGAATTACATCCTTCTTCCCATAGTATGTAGGCATGGAGATCCCTGCAAACACCTCCATGAACATTCAGGCAAAGAGCTTGATGACTGTTCCAGGAGCTTGTCCAAGAATGGGTGCATTTACCGCTGTCAAATCCAGCTCTTCCCCCATGGTCACAAGCCATCTGGGAGGGCTGTGTGGTGGATTGGAGGAGTGGTTTCACCACGCACAGGGACTTTCCCATGTACCTCCCAGGCTCTGGCTCAGACACCCGAAATCCCGGTCACCTGCCCATCTTCTGGCCCAGGCTTGCGGCACCTTGAGGCTGAGCGGCACCTTTTTTCCACAAGCTCTTCACTGCCCCTTGCCTCCCAGGCAGCTGTGAGCTCCCTGGGGAGCTTGCACAGCAAGTGCCAAGCAGAAGGGAGGACACTGAGGCCCCAGCTCTACTGGTTCGAGCTCCCTAAATCATGATCTGGCTCCCAGTGACAGAGACTGATTTAATCCGCACGGCTCTGCAGTGCGCGCTGAGCCTCACCGACGGCTTGTGATCAGTCTTAATGACGAGCGACAGGCCCCCAAACAAATTAGGGAGCCGTCCAGAAGGGAATACACCGCATTACTCCTCCTTATTGATGGCACAGTCACTTAGTTTGATGCGGAGACGCAACTCCAGGCATCACTAAATACTGCAGCAGAAA